GAGAGACTTTATATCCAGAATCTACTACTCCCCTCAATACAGAAATAAAAAAGAGAAGTTCCAAATCTCGGTCTAAATCTGTATTATGTAATAATGAGCTCTGCTCTCACATATCTGATTCAATACCTACTAATAACTCTACAAAAAAAATAAGTAGTGAGGATCTAGGTGCATTATATGAAAAAGAAGCCAGAAGAGATGAGAAAAATAAAGCAAATATGAATCGCCTATTAGCTACTACTTAATCTATAATATTATCTCTGGTAGAGATATGTTTAAGTAGCTTTTCATAATGCATTCGCAACTTTTCACAAAGATCATTTATTTCAGCTTTAGACTTGAGAGTAGTATATAGCAATTTTTCTAACTCCTCATAGCTCATGCGTTTTTTTTAAATGATGAATCAACAGAATCTGAGCTAAAACCTGCAGGAGCATGCCATTCCTCCAATGGTATACTGTCATTCTTATCACTATCTACTTTCTGTGAAATTTGATCAGATCCCAAAGGCTTAGATAGAATAGTATCCTCGTTATGTGAGCCATCTTGAGTCGCAGTAGCGTAATTTACTTCGAGCTTATTCTTCACCTTATGCATAGTTACAGGAAAAATATGATCCTTTCCATTGTGATGAATCTTCATTTTATCATTATTCCAATCAATAACACATTTATATTTCTTGAGAAGTCAGTTTGAAAATATTAACATTGGCTTGGAATGTTTCACGACTACAAAATCCTCATATATAGTACAATCAGGAGTTAGTGTTATTGGTAAATTACGAACGATGCCAATAGACTCAATTGGAACGGTAGCAATACTACTAAGGTCATACTTCACAGATCTATCAATTTTTCCATTTATACACTTAACAATATCTTCTGTTATGATCTCAGTTTCAGCCCTACTATCAATTATCATTGCTGGGATTTTTAAATGCTTAATTTTGCATGGTATAGTCACAATACCTGTATCGGGTTCTTTCTGACAAACAAAATCAATTTCCATAGGGTCATCCAAAGTCTCATCTTCATCTGAATTGGATATCTCTGGAGCTAGTTCTCGATAATTATTATCTTGAATATGGTATGATTTTTCATTATTAAAATTGAGCTCCTGCAATAATGAAGGTAAAATATCTTTAAGTTCACTTTGGATAATTTTACGAATAGTTTGTTCTAAAACTGTTTGCTTACTCCTACCCCTTTTGTGAGACTTAGGTTCCTTATTGATCTTGTGAGATTTGGATACCTTCTTAGATAATGATTTGCTCGAACTACTCTTCTGGTTTACTTTTTTTTTGCCCTGGTAATGTTAACATTCATACTCTCAGTTTCAGAGGAGGTGTCATCGGAATCAGACCCAGAATCAGAATTATTATCAGAAGAGTTAGAATCTGAATCAGAACCAGAATTATTGATAGCCATATTAATCTTATCTTTTTTATTCTTGCTAGATCTCTTGGAATTCTTAGATTTCTTTCTAGGACACTTGCGAGAATTGTGTCCAGTTCTATTACAATTTGAACAATGGTGTTTGGATGATTTAATAACAGCATGAACTCCTGCCTCAAAACCTTTCGACAAAGCCTTATTTATTGATAATTTACCCATACAATCAGCCAGTTCTTCGTCAGAGTCAACTTCAATATTTTTCTTTGATTGCACTGGCTTTGCCAAAAACATATCTGACACTTTTTTATAAAGATCATTAGCTAAAGATTCTATAATTTGGCTGGCTGAAGGAGTTGGGTTTATAAGATCACAATGAATAAATTTTTCAGAATTTACGCTATATCCATCTGGTGGTCTTTCTGGCATATATTTATTTGGTACTCTAAGGTAGTCACTGAAATCAGGTTGCTTTTGCTGAGACTGTAAAGCTTGTGTTTTTTGGTGCTGTAAAGACTGAATAGAAGTTGTTGGTACTAAAGCTAATTGTGATTTTATCATACTATCTAGTTCAGCTCGAAATATACTACTACTATTAGAATGTGATTTATTTTGTATATTAACAGTTGGAGTTTGAGAGATTTGGTCAGGAATAGAGCCTTTATACAAATTCGGAGGACATTCTAACCACATATTTTTAAGTTCTGTAAAAAATGCATTAATGCCAAGAGGATTAGCAATTTTCATCCAAGTATAAAGCTCTCCCGATAAATGGCCCTTAAGAAGTCCTAAGATATTAGCATCACCATCAGCAACCCCTAATAAAAGAGGGCAGATTCTAGCCTCATATGATTCTGGATTATCAAATGGTAAGAATTTTTCTTGTGCTAATCTTTGAGTAGCGACTTGTTGTGTACCAACTGTTTCTGTTTGATATTTATGATACAACCAAACAATAAAACGAGCTGGAGTATCAATATTTGTACCTATGGGGTATTGTGCGGGTATATTTGTATATTTTCCAGACATCTTACTTTTTAAAATATCTGCTCGAAGTGCATTATTAAAGGTGCCTGCCGTAATTGATGATAAAGTTAATATTTGATTAATTCTTTGATACCATTCATCTGGTGGAATCTGTCCACTATAATTTGGAATCTGTGCAATTAATGATGCAATGCTGGTTAAGTCTCCTGCAACTGTCACCATATTTGGTAGGTTATATTGTAGTGCTAAAATTTGTTGATTTAAATTATTAATTAATTGTTCAGAATTTTGTGCCCGAGTTTTCCACTTACCCCACTTGTTGTCCAGTTGAACATCGGCAAGTAATAGATCATTTTCTAGAGTCTTGCATTTATTTTTCCACTTATTGTATCGATTTGTTGTAAGATTTAAGAGATGTGTAGTAATTGCCCCATCCGTCTTACAATCTTGTAGTTGCTGGCTGTTTTGCTGGGCTTGAATCTGAAATTGTCTATTTAAAAGACATGCTACAAATTTTTCTTGGAGTAGCTCTGATATATGCTTATTTTTTTCTATACAAGTTGCTTTTAATAAGTGATAATTAAGTTTGTGGGCTCTATAAGCTTGATAAAGAAGATCATAATCATTTTGAAGCGTAGCTAACTGGGTTTGTGAATCAGCTATCTGGGTTTGCAAATTTGTTAGCTGGGTTTGCAAATCTACTACTTGATTTTCTGCATTGATTGCATGTGCATTAGCTCATGGATATATTTCTAGCACTAATCTTTCAAGCCTATTTCCGGCATCAGAAATTATATTAAGATAATCTATAATGCCATTTATTGTAAGTGTTATTGTAGTTGGGCTTTGAAAATACTGTCTAATATTATTAACCTCTCGCTGAATTCTATGATTCTGAATCATAGCTTGGTTTTCAGGCAAAGATAATCGGGGTGATCCTGGTTGTGCCATATTGCAAAGCAATGATTCTTCAAATCTATCTATATTATCATTGCCATTTTTATATAAAATAAGTATTTTTATTTTTTCATTAAGCTTGTCTATTTCATCTTGA